ACAAGAAATGGCATCTGGTGCCACTATTCTGTTTAAATGAATTTTTAAATTATATTTGTTTATTTATTTATTTACTGTGTGTGTGCACCAAAGCACCACAACTCGTGGGAGTCAGTTCTCTCCATCTACTGTGTGGGTCCTGGGGATAAAATTCAGGCCATCAGGCTTGGAGGCAGGCACTTTTACCTGCTGAACCATTTGCTGCCTCACAGCTATTCTTTTCTATAGACTATCTCTTCTACTCATCTACTGAACTTGCTATTACTTCTTAGCTGGGACACTTTGCTTTCACTGGTTAATAGGAAATAATTAAAAATTGTTATCTTGTGCCAGGTGAGGTGGGGAATACCTTTAATCCCATCACTTGGGAGGCAGAGGCAGAACTCTGTGAGATTGAGGCTAGCCTGGTCTATCTACATAGCTAGTTCCAGGCCAGCTGGAGCTATAGGAAGACCCTGTCTCACGCTACCCTGCCATGTGACTCCTCATACAACTCAACAACTGGTTTCCATCACTGTTGCTGATTTAAAACACAATCACTTGTTTAAAATCCGGGTTTCAGAAATTATCTGGAATTCTACATGAACATTTTCAGTTTGTATACTGAGTGTTAAACAGATGATATAAATTTTGAATTTCACCCACATAGTCAATGGCAGAACTATAGTTGGAACTCTAGTCAGGTGTTCTTCCCAGAAAATAACTTATTATTTGAAATTCTGTATGTCTCAGGTATGGTGGAGATAGCATGGGATTTCATAAAAGGAGTCTGAAAAGAGACATATTTTCAAAGTTTGACGACACTGAGTTTGAAGTCACTTATTTTCTGAGTGGAAGATCTATTAACTCCAAAATTAAGATGAAACTGAATAATGGCACCTCACCCAGAAAGTTGGAAATAATTAGGTAAAGCACCTAGCACACGGAATGGAAGTGGTGACAATTATTACTTCAACAACTTGAAAAGATTAAGGATATATCTTTGTGTGTGTGTGTGTGTGTGTGTGTGTGTGTGTGTGTGTGTGCATGAGTGTGCGTGTGTGCGCGCATGGAGACCAGGTTGACATCAGGTGATTTTCTAAATTTTTCATTTCCCTCCCTCCTTCTCTCCCTCCCTCCCTCCCTCCTTCCTTTCCCTCCATCCCTTCTTCCCTCCTTCCCTTCCTCTTTCTTTTCTTTTACTTCCTTCCTTTCTTCCTTTCTTTCCCCTTCTTCCTTCCCTCCTCCTTCCCTCCCTCCTTCCTTTCTTCCTTTGTGTGTGTGTCTGTGTGTGTGTGTGTGTGTGTGTGTGTGTGTGTGTGAGAGAGAGAGAGAGAGAGAGAGAGAGAGAGAGAGAGAGAGAAGTGTATATGGAGGTCAGAGAACAACTTGTTCATGTCAGTACTGTCCTTGCATGTGTGGGTTCCAGGGACAGAACTCACGTCATCATGCCTGGGGCCAATCACCTTTATCTTCCCAGAGTCATCTTGCCAGCTTTAGTTTTCCAGACAGTGTCTTTCACTCAGCCTGGAGCACAATGATTTGGCTATACTGCTTGGCCAGCAAGCCCTGAAGATTCTCCTGTGTCTGCCTCTCCAGCACTGGGATCAAAGGTGCTAATCATTGTGCTGGAGATCCAAACTCAGGTCCACATGTTTACATGCAAGCACTTTACCATCTCCCAGCCCCAGATTAGGGATGCATTTTAAACTCAGTTTTCCTTGTAAGCAGCATGGACCTCCCATTTATTAACACTTGACAGAGTTATTTCTGTTCCAAGAAAAAAGTGATACATAAGTTTAAACAAATGATGAAAAAGCTTAGCATCATATCTGTATTCACACTAATTTTTTGACCTTTAGAAGGGGCTTTTAATTTTAATATTTCAAGATTTGATATGAAAATTTAATTGATAAAAACTTCATATATAATAGACATTTAAACTGTTTCTATTTTATATACATTGAAGTTAAAAAAACAAGTTTCTCTATGGAGGCTAGAAGGAGAACAGCAGTGCAGACTGCGTGGGTCACATGCTTCATCATGACATACAGCCATATGGGAATGGTGGGGATGCTGCTGTTCTCATTCATAGGAGTTCCAAAACAGGAAAAAATCTAGGAAAATGGTCATTTTTTTGGTCTTAGTGGTATCATTATTTAAATTTAATTCTTGGATATTTCGCCACAAAAATCATGGATAATAAAGATATTTAACTGATCAAAAAACTCTTAGAGGCCAAGGAAACCCTAAGTAGGTATGCAAAGTCCCACAGATATTTCAATAACCCTTTCCATGGTTAGATATCTTCTAGGAAGAAGATTATGTAGTGTAACACACTAATTTTTTTTTAAGTATTGGGGACAGAATTTATATGTGTCTTGTAAACTAATTGTTTTTATGAAAGATAATGTTAGCTGGCACATTTCCAAAAATCTGGGTAAAAGGCATACTATTCTTTAAGAGTTAAGCCCTTATATTGTATGATCATAAATGGAGCCTCTGGCACTTTACCAAGTTCCTAAGTCCACTCCAAGTTAACACATCGTAATTGTGTGTGTGTGTGTGTGTGTGTGTGTGTTCATTTGCACTTGAACTTCGGAGGATCCATTTACTAACTTACATAGGAAAATACTCTAATTGGAATATCAAAAGTTTGTCATGATGCTTGAACACAATTGTTCTCTTCAATCTTTAATCTGTCATAGACTAAAGTAGCTAACAGTATGTTTAGGGTCATTATTTTCAACTGTTTCCTGACACCAAACAACATTATTTTAAGCTCCAGACAAGTAGATTTCCAATAATTATATAATGTCTCTCAGTAATGATCTGTTCCTAAAGATACACATTCTACTTTACCTTTCAACACATACTTGATAACCTCTCATTTACTAACTGTAATTGAGGCAAATTCAGTCTCAGCTAATTAGGAGCTATTAGTACACCCTCATACATGGTATTCTTAATGACATACTAGAAGTAGGGTTTCATTTTCAATTAAAGTAATAAATACGTACAACTTTAAAATATTAGAATGTTTGAGGACATTTCAATTATTTTTACAAATAACAATTCCAACACTCTATTGGGGGTGTGAAAAAATGAAAAAAAAAATAACTAAAATGGGATGCTCTGGAAGTAAAGCTACAGCCAAATCATATGCTTAGGTATTAGAAGGAAAGAATAATTACATAATGAAGACAATTCAATGAAGGCATTATTTGAGTGCTAGACTGGCTGGATCCCCTTTTGTTAGCTCTGATGGTTACTGCTACATACAGACTTCTAGGGAAGTTCAGGTATGCAGAGGGGTTAAAGTGGGGACTATCTTTGAGGTGAAAAAGTCTACCTTTAGCTGAGTGTGGTGGCACATGCCTTTAATCCCCACACTGGGGCAGGCAGATGTCTGTGAGCTGGAGGTGATCCTGGTCTACATAGTGAGTTCCAGGTCAGGTGGGTCTCTAGGGGGGTCCTGTCTCAACACAACACAACAAAACAAAACAATACATCAAAAAAAAAAAACCACCTTAAATTCCACCTTTGTTTATAACTGTAGTAACAATGGTTAAGTTTTGAAACAAATAGGCCACCAGCAAAAAAAAAAAAAACCCACTAAAATTCTTCAGAAAATACCCTCCTTTTCTTCCCACAAAAAATCTATCTAGAATGGACTGTTTTCTGAATGCTGCCATCTTATTTCCGCCATAGAATTTCTGCTGTAGTTAGGAAGAAACATAACACAAATAACATCAATTCAACAGTCTTTTTCTCTTCAGCATTTTTGAAAACCATCACATAAGCAAAAACCAAAAATTAAATAAAATATAAAAGAGTCCTTGGAAATGAAGCACATGCTTGTGAATTCAGAGCAATTCCAAACAGAAGCAGAAGTTGCTAATATGGTTTCAGTATTTTGTAAACGCGCCAGCTGGATGGATGATAATTTTTCTACCCCTGCAGGGCATCAAAGCTTTTAGGAAATCATTCTTTTCACACATATTAACACGTAGCTTATTAAAACAGATGATACTTTTATTGTAAAATGGCCTGGGTAGAGGCTGGAAACATAAAGTCAGAAAGATAAGGTTGACTTTGATCGCCCAATCTCATGAACAGCACACAGTGACACAACAGACCATGGTGGAGATGATGACGTGGCAGGACCTTCTGTAACTGCCACAGCTGAAGTGTCACCATGGGGCCCGTGAATTGCTGTTATGAAAACATTTGCAGTGACTTGCATAATTAAATGAAACTGCCAGAAAAGCATTTCTAAAATGCAGAGAAGATGCATGTAAATAAATACACTTCAAAGCAAATGCTGCCTTTCAGAATCAGTATTGGGGCAAGTCTGTAATTATGTCACTAAGGGCACAGCATCATTTGCTTCTCAGTGTTAAGAGTTACATGTGAATGACATGCTACTATTTAGATGGGCTGCTTTCTTGGTTACCTTTATATATAATTCAATATACGGCACTTGGTCAAAACCACAACCTCCATCCATGGTAAGTTGTCATACCTAAAGGAAGACCCTAGTACTAATAAAACTGTCATGTTATATATATA